TTATTATCATCCAAGAGAAGCATTAAAACAGGAACAAAATGTCATGCCTCTATCATACCTTAGCATGGAAGAAGTCTAAATGGTCAGGAATTATATTATCTTGAAAGCCATAAGAAACTTCAAAAAAAAAAATCTAGAATAATAGTAGCAATATGGGAAATGAGACTTTAAAAGGATCTTAAGAGATCACCTGGTCTGACTCTTCCCTCCATGATATATCTACAGTGCCTACAAAACTACGTTCAATAGAGATTTTCCCTACTATTGCATAGCTGACAATCTGTGCTCAAGACAATCCACATATCCCAGATAGTACTTCTTAGACATGGCACTCAAGGAAGACAGTTTTTAAACTGTTTGAGGCAACTGCAGCATTATAACGTGAAATACATGCAAAAGTTTGAGAGCCTGTCATAACTGCAAGAATAATGAAATGATTGCATACTGTAGTTGAAACATAACCATTGGAGCTCGGGCTGCAAAAAGCAGTAATAAGTTTTGAAATTTTATCAGCACCAAAGGACATTTCCCATGGCTCAGTTAAAGGCAGTTTAAGAGAAGATCTGTTAGAGAAGACAGAACATCACTGCAGAGGTAAGTAGGAGGTATAAAACATCCTACATCACTAACGTGGAAATGTCATAACATGCACAGCAAATAGTATATACTTAAGAATATACATACAGCTTGCTGTTTGAAAATTATTTCTTATCTCTCCATTGATTGTGGGTTCTTTAGGTGCCATTTGTTAGATGATGGCTAAAGCTAAGAAACAAGTGTTGTCATCTGCATTAGGAGAAGTTTATGAGAGAGTTTTGCCTTAGCATCTTCCTTCAGACTACATGTAAGCACAATAAGCATTTTTTTTTAACAGAATCAAGTAGGTGTGACAGCAGGAGCTGCATCTATTGACAAAGAGGTAAATGGAGGTAAATGATCGAAGAGATTTGTCTAGAAGATGAATCATTGAACATGGATCGGAAAGAGCAGCAGCAGCAGAAATGCTCAGTATTCAGAAAATATCTAGAGGTAACACTAGAAATAATCAGCGAAGGACATGGCCATTTAGCTAAAGAAGGAAGCGTGGGGAATTGGAATGACAGGTAAATGGGGAATTGGAAGACAGGTAGGAGTAAAATGGGAGGGAGGTGGCTGGAGTTCAATAAGTGGAATATGGGAACATCCAGGCCATTCTGGGAGCAGAAGATAGCCAAGATTATGAAGAACAGGCTGAGTTACTGGTGAATATGAGTAGGTCTTTTGACAAACTGTTGTACTTGGCAGCATTATGCATTTAGGAACTTACGTTTTTACAAGCTCTGGAAGTGACAGATCAGCATTTAAAGACAAAAGAATTACAGGTCATACAATGCAGTGATAATATGTGTACAAATTATGTGTAGTGGCATCTGCTGCTGCTATTCCAGATCAAGGCCTCTGATATTTGCTGTTTATTAGAAAACCTTTAAATCATGACCCAAATATACGCTGTTAAAAATGTACGTGACAAATAAAATAGCCTGCAACTGTTCATTTTAAATGTTAGATTTTCGTGATCAGTTCTTTGTGGGCTGGAGTGTGATTTGTTAACAGCTGACAATGAATTGTTGTAACTGGGGGCAAAAAATGGCCAACAGAATTTCATTACTGGGAAATGATAAAAAGGAATAGCTTGATATACAGATTACATTATCAGAGAACCAGTATGGGTTTTGGCCTTTTAAAAAGCTGTTATTTTTTTCCCCAACAAGTTATTTTGTAATTTGGAAGAAAAATGTGATGTGAAAAGAACAACAAAAAAAAAAAATTGCTGTGATAGTCTTTTTTTTATCAGTGTATAACATTTTAAACACTGTAAGGAGCACAAAAATCTGTTTTTTTTTTTTCAGCCAAGCCAAAAAAAAGTATTGTCTGGTTTTCCTGTGAAGTCAGAAAATAATGAGGGAGTTTTAACTGGACATCTTGATAAAAAAAGAGTATGTCAGTAAAGACATTCACCAAGTAATCTAGCTCATTGTTGGGCTCAATGGTGCCAAATATGTATGTACATGTATATATAGATATATATATAAACCACCTGGAAGCCCAAGCTGTTTTCCTGTCTGCTACTGACTACTACAAAAATTCTAGTGTTTTGATTCTAGAGTTGGGTTTGGTTTGACGTTAAATTACTCTTTCCTGTCTTGCAGTACTTTCAGTTCTGATGATTCTGAGGTCACACCAGCCAGTTTTTTTTGCATGCCATAGAACCTGCATATTAATGAAAGCTGAGATCTCCTTCCATAGAAAATGAAGATTTTAGAGTAACTAATATTACAAACCACAATGAAACCAGGATAGCTGACAAAAGTCAGAGCAAGTAACTCAGAACAAAATGCAGCTACAGAAGTAGTTGTTGAAAATGAAGGATGAACTGGAAGAAACAAGCTTTCAGATTTTACTATGGTATCTATGGATCTATGGTATTAACAATTAAATCAATTTCTTTTTAATTGCATGAAGACAAAACACAGAAGAAGGCAAAAAGGTGACCACATCAACAGATATTTTTTGGTAACATATCAAGCCCAGGGAACTGGGCTTGTTTAGCTTGGAGAAGAGAAGGCTTCAGGAAGTCTCATTGTGGCCTTCCAGTACATGAAGGGAGTATATAAGCAAGAAGGGAAACGACTGTTTACATGTGCTGATAGTGATAGGACAAGGGGGAATGGTTTTCAAATAAGACAAGGGAGATTTAGGTTAGATATGAGGAGGAAGTTTTTCACACAGAGGGTGGTGACACACTGGAACAGGTTGCCCAGAGAGGTTGTGGATGCCCCATCCCTGAAGGTATTCAAGGCCAGGCTGGATGTGGCTCTGGGCAGCCTGGTCTGCTGGTTGGCGACCCTGCACATAGCAAGGGGGTTGAAACTGGATTATCAGTGTAGTCCATTTCAGACCAGGCCATTTTATGATCCTATGATCTCAAAGGAGGTGGCAGGCAAATGGATGAGGCCAGGCTCTTCTTGATGGTGTGTAGCAATAGCATGAGGAGTAATGGCCTAAAACTTGTATCTCATAAACAGCAGTGTTAAAGATGATCTCAGAGTGCCAGCTGTGAGTGGAAAAAAGGCAGCAGCAGGCAGCTGGAGGAGGAGGGCTGGGCAGCCCCATCCCAGCCTGGGGGCAGGAGCAGCCCATCAGGATGAGTAGGCAGCAGGGTAGGCCCTGGCCATCCTTTTCTGGCTTGAAGGGCCTGTGCAAAGTTCAAGGGCTCTTCACAGTGAAGCAGCTGGGCAACACCTGCAAGCAGTTTACTTAAGTCCTTACTGGCTTATTTTGGGAATCTGACTGGGTGCCAGGCTGGAGGCTTCTGAGGAAGTAAATACTTCAAGACAAAATACTCAAGTGTTTTGCCTAAGCCGTGCCTGTCGGCAGGGGCAGAAAATAAAACAAAACAAAGTGTGCATTCAGTGAGAGCCTGGCAAGATGGAACGTGGAGCTAAGAGACGCATCCTGAAGCCAGGATGGAGGTGGCTGGGTGCCAGCAAGGCAGCTTCAGCGAGGCTTGTTGCTACTTGCAAGGCCAAAGCCCAGGCCTAACAGAACTCAGAAACTCTACAATAAAATAAGGAGTCCAAGAAAGACCATGTAAGACCAAAGTGCTCCTGTATCACAGATATACACGCAGAGTGAGCTAATAAGGCACTACAATACTCACGATAAATACTAAATGCTAAACTGAGGAAGCGCGGTCTTGACAACTGAGTAGTGACGTGGACTTGAACCAGCTGAAGGAAACAAGCCAGAGAGTTGTGGTCAGTGGAACAGAGTGAGACAAGTTGGAGGTCTGTATCTTGAGGAGTCCCTCAAGGGTCAGTACTGGGACCCGTACTATTCAACAGACTCATCAGGGTCTTGGATGAGGCAGTAAAGCGCACTGTGAGCAGGCTTGCTGATGCCACAGAACTGGGAGGAGTGGCTGACATGCCTGAAGGCTGGGCTGCCACCCAGCGAGACCTAGACAGGCGGAGAGTTGGGCGGGGAGAACTTTAATGAAATATAACAAGGGCAAGCATAGGGACTTGTATCTGGGCAAGAACGACCCCACATACCAGCATAGGTTAGGGACTGACCTGTTGGAGAGCCGCGTAGGGGAAAGGGACCTGTGGGTCCTGGTGGACAGCAGGGTGACCATGAGCCAGCAACCTGCCCCTGTGGCCAAGAAGGCCAATGGCACCCTGGGACATACTAGAAGGGGCATGGTTAGGAGGTCAAAAGAGGTTATCCTGCTTCTCTATTCTGCCCTGGTGAGACCGCATCTGGAGTATTGTGTCCAGTTCTGGGCCCCTCTGTTCAAGAAGGACAGGGAACTGCTTGAGAGAGTCCAGCACAGAGCCACAAAGATGATGAAGGGACCAGAGCATCTCCCTTACGAGGAAAGTCTGAGGAAGCTTTGGCTTGGAGGAGACTGAGAGGTGACCTAATGAACGCTTATAAATATGTCAAGGATGTCTGTCAGGAGGATGGAGCCAGGCTTTTCTCAGTGACATCCAGTGACAGGATAAGGGCAATGGGTACAAGCTGGAACATGAGAGGTTCCACATGAATGCTAGACAAAAAACTTCATGGTGATGGTAACAGAATATTGGAACGGGCTGTCCAGAGAGGTTGTGGGGTCTCCCTCTGTGGAGACGTTCAAAACCTGCCTGGACACATTCCTGTGTGACCTAATCTAGGTGTTCCCAGCAGGGGGATTAGATTAGATGAGCTTTTGAGGTTTCTTCCAATCCCTGACATTTGGTGACTGTGATTCTGTAACTGGTATGGAGAAGAGACAGCAGCTATTAAAATAAAGACTTGGTAAAAAAAAAAAAAAAACCTACTATTTATTTATGTATTTATGTATGTATGTATGTATTTATTTATTTATAATAAATAGTACAATTTTTAAGCTCATCTTCTCTTTTCTCGTTCTCTTCTCTCCTTTTCTCCTTTTCTCCTTTCAAATTTCCCTTTTCATTCCCTTTTTCCTTCCCTGCTCCTTTCCTCTCCTCCCTTCCTTTCTTATGCTTTCTTCTTTTTTCTATTGGCTCCATCGCTGAAGACAAAATTCTCTTATTCTCCTCCATGTCTCACTAGAAAAAGTAGAGTCGCAACTTGAGACTATTCACAAAAAAGAAAAGCTGCCTCCTCCCTACATCCCTCTGCGGCAACAGCAAAGGCGGGAGTGCCAGTACCTGTCCGTTGGCCCAAGCGGCCGGGAGAAGTTGCTCATCACGGCCTCAGTGTGACAGCGGGTGAGGATGACCACCGCCTGGCACAGGAAGGGCAGGAACGTGCTCTGCTGCGCAAACGATGTGATGCTGCGCAGGATGTAGAGGATCGGAGGCACCTGAGAGAAGAAGAGGAGAAAGAATGACTTGCTGCATCCTGCACTCTGCAGGGCCCAACCATGGACATTCAGCGCATGAGCAGTGCCTGCTCCCTTGACGTGCTGCCAAGTCCTAAGCCTGAATTTCATGCCAGCTACGCTGGTCTCCATGCCCTGAGCACAAGGGGCAAACAGCACAAGTCATAGTGCAACAGCCAGCAAAAGTCCAAGACACGTGGCAGAAAGTCTCTTACGTTCCAACTGATGTCCTTCCCGTGCATCTGCAGGAAGGTGGTCATCCACTTCCCAGCAGCACGCACACGCACTCCGTTGGCTTTCCGGATCGTCTCCTTGATGGCAGTCATGAAGTCAACGGTGCGTTCTAGGGGGAAGTTCCTGCACACGATCTGCAGAGAAATGAGAAGCGGGGGAGATCTCATCACTGCTCTGCTGCAGCTGTCTGTACCCTGCTGTTGATACGGAAGGCGGTTGAGCCTTCTCTCAGCTTCTGCACCCATGGTGTTTGCTTACATGCAAAGCCTACCTCCCAGCAGCCACAATCACACATGCAAGCAAGTGCACTCACACACACAAACGCACATCATGGAGTCAGATCCTTGCACTGGGTGCCTGAAGGCCAGACGTAGCTCAGAGCCTCCTGCTACTTGCTGAGAAAACAGGACTCAGGGTAACAGCTCATTTTGGAAACAGTGTGAGAGGCTGGGGCAGCACAGGGTCATGCAGAAGCCTACACACAGAGATCACACCATCCCTTCTTGGGTCCACATACCATGGCCATTTTGGATGTGGTCTGGAGCTGAGAGGCGATGCTGCAGGCATGCAGCCCCTCGCACAGGCTCCTGATGTCACCCATCTCGATGTCTGTGTTGGTCACTTTGGCTGGAAAGAGCACAGGGAGAAAAGGTAAGTCATGCTTCTGGAAATGAAACTGCTTTCCATGGGGGAAAGACAGAGGACAGGATGGGGACAAGAAGAGAGCCATGCACGGTGCCTCTCCCTCCTGTAAACAGGGCCCAGCCCGTGGGGCTCTGGTAGTGCTACGGAGGAGGGCAGAGGGCTGGAGCACGCCTGCTTTACTCACCTTGGATTCGCAGAAGGGAGCTCAGACAGGTGACGGCCAGCTGGCGGGATGCAGGCATGGGGTCACACGTCAGAGGCGCCAGCAATCCCACCAAGGAGCCAAAGTGCTCACAGGCATCTCCTCTCTGCAGGGGTGAGAGGCAGGAACAAAGCTGTAGACGGCCCCAGCTCTCCCCAGCTTCTCCCATCTGTGCCTTCCCCACGCTTTGACACAGCATGCTCAGCTGGGCAGAGCTCACCTTCCAGCTCAGGGGCACCGGGGAGGGAGCAGGGGGCATGTGGTGGGGCTCTTTACTCACTTGAAGCTCTTCACAAACAGCCAGCAGCTGGGAGCAGGTCTGCAGGGCCCTCTCGCGCTCCCACATGTTGGTTGATACCATTGATTTCTGCAGGACCTGGGGTAGAGCATCTGTCTCACTGAGGATGTCTTTTCTTTCCCTTCCTGCCACCCCTCTCCCTGCCCCTCCTTTCCCAGCACTTTCCCTTAAGGCCTGCCCTGTTGCTCCATGTGGCCTCCTGCCTCACTGAGCACCAGCACTGCCGCCCCGCTCTCTGCAGTCACTCCTGCCTCCTAACCCAGGAGCTTTTCCTCAGCTGTGGCCTGCCAGGGGCTGGCTCCTGCTTTCCCCCTGCAGGGCCCATTTCTCTGCCCATTTCTGAGCTCGCAGTGAGCTGGCACGTCAGCAGGAGATTTCTCCCCCTCTGATCCTCCTCTCAGTCCCCAGATCTCTGCCCCCGCTATTGACAGGCACCATGCTTTCTCCCTTGCCCCACGCATACTCACATGGACTATGTTCTGAAAGAAGCCACCGCTGGGCTCTGTCTCCAGCAGGACCACCATGAGCCGGCCCAGAGCTTTCAGTGCTGTTTGCTGAAGCTGAAAGCAGAAGAGGGGAGTGACGTGTAGCATCACGGCTGCTGCCAGAGCAGAGGTTGTGTGTGCTGAGGTAGGGTTCCGACAGAGAGGTGGCCGGGAAAGTTACGGCAGGTTACCTGCAGGTACTGTGCTGCTTGCTGTGACTTCCTGATCTTCAGCATCATCTCTGCTGAAGGATATGTCACGATGTTCTTGCAGCACAGGACCAACATCTCACGCAGGTCCTTGCTTTCAGAAGAGGGCTTCAGCTTGCTGAGAGGAGGAAAACAGGAAGAAAAATCAGAAAGGCCCTTTACCTCTCCAGACTGGTTCAGACAACATCTGAGTTTCTCCCAATCAACAGCTACAAAGCCAATACCCCCACCCAGCTCATGTTGCTGAGCACTGCCTTCAGTTCCAGCAGCGTCCACCTCCTCCCCGGCAGCAGTGAACCACCTCCTGCTCTGGAGGGAAGGAGACCCCAGCTCTCCCTCTCTTCCCTGCCAGGGGACAGGAGCACCAGGGCCTTTCTCCCTGCCCAGAACCTCAGCTTTGCTGGGCACAACAGCCCAGCCATCTCTCCTGTAGATGTGGCTCCTCCCTCCCTGCCCCCTCCAGGCCCTCAGAAGCTACCCAAAATGGGGATCACCATCCTGACTTGCAACCTCAGCCCTTACCTCAACTGCTCCAGGGCCAGAACCGCCTTGAGAGGCAGTGGGGAGACAGGGATGCCCAAGTAATACTTCTTCATCAGCTCCTGCAAGTCCCAGAGACACACTGTCAAAGTGGGCAGGGGGCACACAAGAGCTGTTCCACCTGGCCACAAGACAGGCACAACTGCCACACACCAGCCCCATCACTTTCCCATGGAAGC